TGACTTGAGAAAGTGGCTGTACAACAAATAATTTCCATAGAGCACATACCATGCGCTAGATTCTTTATAAAATTAACACTTACATGATCAGCAAACAGGTCTGTGAATTTAACCACTCTGCCCCCACTGGCTATAGAATCTTCCTTATACTTGTTTCTTTTCGTAACAGCTTCACTAACATATAACTCACATTCCATAAATTCATCCTTTTAAAAATACAACTGAGTGGTTTTTAGTATACTCACAGAGATGCACAACCATCTAATTTTAGAATATTCTCATTATCTAAAACCCCATACCCCTTAGCAGTCACTTCCCACTCTTGTTGCCTCAGACCCTGGCAACTGCTAATCCACTCTTTATATCTACACATATGCTTATTCTAGTCATTTCATATAAATGGAATCATATAATATGTGGTCTTTGTGATGGGCTTCTCTCACATAGCATAATGTTTCAAGGTTAGCATATGTTGCAGCATAGATTAGTACCTTTGCCTTTATACATATTGCTAAATAATGTTCCACTGTATGGATACACCACATTTTTCCCATTCATCAGTTGATGGACATTTGCATTGTTTTCACTTATTGTTACTAAGAATAATGCCACTAAGAACATTCATGTACATGTTTTTGTGTGGACATATGTTTCATTTCTCTTAGATATATACACCTAGGAATAGAATTGCTGGATCATATGGTAACTCCATGTTTACCTTTTTGAGGAACTGCCAACTCTTTTTCAAAGCAGCTGCATCATCTTACAGTTCCACCAATATATCAAAGTTCCATTTTTTCCACATCTTCGCCATCTTTTGGATTAAATTCATTCTAGTGGGTCTGAAGTGGTATGTCATGATTTTGATTTGCATTTCTGCAATGATGTTGAACATCTTTATGTGCTTATTTGTCATTTGTGTATTTTCTTTGGAGAAATGTGTAATCCAATTCTTTGCTCATTTAAAAAATTTGGTGGTACTTCCCTGGAGGTCCAAGTGGTTCAGACTCCATGCTTCCACTGCAGGGCACACAGGTTCGATCCCTGGTTGTGGAATGTGTCATGGCGTGGCCAAAAGGAAAAAGGAAGAAAAAAGAAAAAATTTTTGGTTATTGGTCTTTTTATTTCAGTTGTAATAATAGCTCATATATTCCAAAATACAATTCCCTTCCTGAACTTGGGATTTTCAAATTTCGGGTCCCACTTTGTGGGCTGTATCTTCACTTTCTTGGTGGTGTCCCTTGAAGCTTGAAAGTTTTTAATTTTGAGGAAATCCAATTTATGTATTTTTTTCCCCTTTGGCTGCTTGTACTCTTACATTTAGGTCGATGGTGCATTTTGAGTAAATTTTTGTGTGTGGCATGAGGTACGAGCCTGTGATAAAATATTTCACAAGTGCTGTCTTGACCCAATGTTGATGTCATGGCTAAAAACTCTCAATTCCTCTTCACAGGAAGTTTGCTAAACCCACACCCTAAATATTTCTTTTATCAAGGTCTAACACAACGTACCTTTGCCAGGCTACCCACGCATACCTCAGTAGCCTTGCCATTGTACACAATCTTAACTGCATCCACCTTTTTCCAGGAGCGCAGGTATGACATTATATGGACGACATCCTCCTCTGAGGAGATTCATTTAACATGCTCATTAAGGACATAAAAATACTCACAAAAGAGCTCACAAAAAAAGACATAGGCCACTGCCTCACACATAATGCAAAGCCCTGACACCTTCGTTAAATTCCTGAAAAGTAAAACAGGGCAACTCTATGCCTGACACTGTCAAGAAACTACAGTAAAATCTTTCAGCAACCATAATGTCTTTCAGTCTTATTTGGGTCTGGAAGCAACATATTCCTTACTTACAAATTTTAGTTAATCTCACTGATGCCATTACTTACAAATCATCCCACCTTGGAAAGGAACCCTGCTAACAAAAGGCTCCAGAATCTGTTCAAATTAAAATCAGCAGTCACTCCTGTTAGTGCTCTCAGAGACTCCTTCTCTGCAGAGGCTGCAGCAACCTCCTCTCATGCCTCTGAACCCCCTCTGACGGCCACCAGGTGCCTACAGGCTTAAGATGCAAGAAAGTGCCCCTTTTGGCCCTATGCTATACACCATTAGAGTGACAACTGCTGGCTATATACTAAGATCTCTTGGAGATAAAGGCTTTCAAAGACCCTAAGCCTGGGACTCTCTGAACCCAGATGCCTACTATGCCTTGGATCAGGGAGGCAGCACCCCCACAAACTCAGCACAGGTACATCCCATAGGCTCAGCCAAGCCTGAGCCCTCTGGAATGTTCCACCTACAGGAGGGAGTGGTCTTCCCTGTCCTTAGTCCCTTGCCAGATGCCATGGTGCTAGAGGAGGTCACCCCTCCCTCAGAGCCCTTGACTAGGAATCCCCCTGGGGTTAACTAAGTAAACAGCAATGTGAGCCCACAGACTTTATGAATAGCACTGCCACCATCATAGGTGATGGAGCTAAGTGGAATGTTGCTGCTTTCCATTCCTTAACTAGGATGTCCCCCATAAAGGACAGGATCCAAGGATCAGACAAGTGGTCAAACTTTAGGAAGTCATCTCTGCACAAATGTCCTGACAAACAAATGGTCCCATCTACACATTTTTACAAACTCTTGGGCCATTGCCTAAGAGTTGTCCCTTTAAGGGTAAAGAAATCTGGGAATCTCTTGCCTTACAGATACTCAAATATAAATCAAAGTCACTCGTCTCTACATATACAAGGACTCACCAAGACAATCCTTATTCCCTTCAGAGTTCAAGACATTACTAGTAGTGACCAAGGCATACATTTCACTTCTCAAAACACACAATGCTGGGCTCTTGTGAAAGACATTCAATGGAACTTACATCTCCCAATAGGTCCCAGGCAGCTGGCTTAATTAAGAGACACAATGGTCTCTTTAAACAGCTCCCTTTTTTTTTTTTTTTTTTTGCGGTATGCGGGCCTCTCACTGTTGTGGCCTCTCGTTGCGGAGCACAGGCTCCGGACGCGCAGGCTCAGCGGCCATGGCTCACAGGCCCAGCTGCTCCATGGCATGTGGGATCTTCCCTGACCGGGGCACGAACCCGTGTCCCCTGCATCAGCAGGTGGACTCTCAACCACTGCGCCACCAGGGAAGCCCCTAAACAGCTCCCTTTTAAGTGGCAGTGTGTATGGGGATATATGTATACATATAGCTGATTCACTTTGTTGTACACCATAAACTAACACAATATTATAAAGCATTTATACTCCAATAAAGATGTGAAGAATAGATAAATAAATGGCAGTGTGGCAAAAGGACACCTACATGTGTCTCTCTCTTGCCTCAAGCCTTAATCTCTCTTAATTTAAGGCGCCCTGTCTGACTCACATCTCAAAGAAACTTTAGGAAACCTCCTTATCACTATTTCCTATATTTAGAGGGAGTATGTCTCACCCTCCATGCACATGAAGACTCATCACATATGAGGTCTTTTAACAATAATGTCTCCCTCTAACTTTATGGATTTTCAATCCTGCTGCCATTTCATAAGGGCTGTAAGTCAGATTGAGGGCACATACTCTCCTCAGACCCATTAACCATAGATGGTCCAATGGGAGAAGCAACTGTCCACCTGGTATGTGATCCATTTGAGCCTGAACTTTCCCTAAGATTGAGGGCACATACTCTCCTCAGACCCATTAACCATAGATGGTCCAATGGGAGAAGCAACTGTCCACCTGGTATGTGATCCATTTGAGCCTGAACTTTCCCTACCCAGGAAACCTTCCCCAATATTTGGATTATAAGGTGTTGAAAATTAATCTGGGATCTCCTTCTGATCCCATCCAGGAAATTCAAATTGGTGCATGTAGGCTAAGGCTCTTAATCTATAGGAAATACAGAAAAACATGTTAATGATACCAGACTGTGGGGAACTATACAGAACAAATCGCCCAGTTTTTTCAACAAATACATTATAAACCAATCGCAACACATAGGTCTTATTTGGACCCAGATTCAAAGAAATTTTAAAATTTTAAAAAGATACGCCCGGAGAGGCAGTCTAAACTCTAACTGGATATCTGATATTAAAGAAATATTGTTTGAGAGAAAATAATGGTATTGTGATTAAGCTTTTTAAAAGACTCATCATTCACAATACACACTGAAATGTTTATGGATGAAGTAATACAACAACATCTGGCATTTGCTACAAAATAATTCTGGGGTGGGCAGAGGTATAGATCAAACAAGATTAGCTATGAGTAAATCATTATTGAAGCTGAACAAAGGATGGTACATAGAGGTTCATTACTATTTTGTCTATTTTTGTACAGTTTGAATTTTTCATAATAAAAAGTTTTAAAAAATGCTGATCATGGCTCAGTGAATTGATTTTACCACATACACAAAAAATAAGGTAACAACACCATAGTTTGAAAACTCTACAATAGCATATTAATAATTTTCTTAAGCTTTCCAACAACTAGCAAAGTACCTTGAATAAAACATAAAATCAAAAAATAGTGATTAGTAAAGTAATGATAGAGCCTGAGGGAAAATATAGCAAGAAGTATTAAAATTTAAAGTCTACACATAAGTTGGCCCAGAAAGTAGCATTCATTCTACTAATAAACTCATCAAATGAGCATCTATATTTATCCTACCACCGTTTACAATAGTAAAAGACTGATAGCCATCTGAAAGTTAGTAAGGGTCAGTTTTTAAACATGGAAGAAATATGGAATACAGTTCAGCTATAAAAAATGAATAAGCCTGTAATGTACTAATATATGCATAGAATCCCCCTGGAAGTACTCAAGAAACTAGTCACACTGGTTGCCCTCTGAAGTGGGAAAACTCTGTGACTAAGGGCAGAGCTGGGAGGGAGAATTTGCTGAATGCTCTTTTGAACCTTTTAAATACTTACAATATCATCTCTTAAACAATAAAATTGAGAAGAAAATACTAAAAGAAAGGCTTCAAATTTCACTCTGTGGGATTTATTCTATTCCTTCAAAAATCTTAGAAAAGTACTAAGTATACAGGCGGCATTAAAATATTTGGCACACGAATATGTGTACCTCAGGTTAAAAGGAGAGAAATGGAGTGGAACATCTTCTTTGGGTCCATTCCTCTAACCTCCCCCCATGCCCATTATTCTTTGGAATAGCAACGCCCAAAAACCAGATCACTAAAAAGATCCTTGCTATAGATTTTCGAGGACAGAAAGATATATCCTGAAAATCCTGAAAGCAATTCAGAGACAAGAGAAAAACAACTTACCTTGGATAAAAATCTTAGCTGTCCAACAGCTACTCTTCCCTTGTTCTCTGGTCACCTGTGTCAGAGAAGTTGGTAAGAGTTAAATAATCTTGAGACACCAAGCCTTTCTTTGGTTCTTTGTTAGAACCAAACATCTTCTACTCTCCCTGCCCCACCCCACAAGTTAAAGTAGACACTCAGCCGAAGCTCAGCGACTGACCTGAGCAATGATGCCCTCCCTCTTTGGGAACCAGAGTGGAAGTCGAGAATCCGCATAGGGCTCCCCAGGTGGATTCCTGAGGGGAAACTGGAATCTTACTACCTCGATTTTTGCCTCCTCTCTTCTCAGCCCCCCGAACTTGAGGCTGTTTCTGGCTCTAAAATTCTCATTCTGAGATCAGGTCTGTGACTTGGAGACAAGCTTCTTTATCTGGTCATTCTCGCAGCTTAACACAACCGCTCTCACGTCTGAAGACACAATTACCACTCTCTCAAGTGGTCACACAAAATCATGCAGTCCCACAGGCACATCACGTTATACACACACACACACACACACACACACACACAGTGGCGTGCTAAGGCCTGAGGCTCTAGACACGGCCGGTCTTTGTCCCGGGGCTCAGACAACGCCTCACCTTCTGCTTCTCCGGCGTCCTGCCGGGTCCCAGTGGTCCGGTCCACATAAACAGTCCGCGCTCCCTCAGCCGCTGCGCGGCTCAGCTCGTTCCAGCATTAACAGCGCTGACAACCTAGTAGGAAGTAACATTACACCCGCAGGCTTCTGGAAAATGTAGTCCAGTACCCAAAAGATCCGAGAGAGCCAGCAACGCAAGCCTTCCGAGCCCCTCTCAGAACCGTACTCCCCGCAAGAATACAAGCCGCGACCAGCGGGTCCTCCGCCGACTCCGCAAATCACTCCGCGCGTCTGCCGTCCCAGCTGTGATGTGGCACCTCCGGTCGCGCTCTGGCACCTCCGGTCGCGCTCTGGCACCTCCGGTCGCGCTCTGGCACCTCCGGTCGCGCTCTGGCGGGCAGCTTATTTCCGGCCGCGGGGACTTCTGGGACATGTAGTATGGACGAGGAGCCCCAGAGGGTCAAAAGGGGTCGTCCTGTTGTCTCAGCCTCAGCTTACCACGGGTTGGCGCTGGTTGCCGCAACAGAGTCCGAAGCCTCTGGCAGGTGGAAGGGAAGATGGAGCGGATTCCGAGGAGGCTGAAGGAGATGAATCTCCAGGCCGTTACTGCAGCCTGGCCTGTGGAGGAGGACGTAAGGAGAGTGACCCTTTACTGCTGGTGAGTGCATTTGCTTCAGTTTGTGACCTTGGGGGTGTGGTTGTGCAGCTGTTCCTGATACAGTTTTTATGAGTAAAAAATAAATAAATAAAGTGTTTAAAGTCCACTTTCTGAATGTAACATGCCAAAAAGTGCCCAAATTGTTAAAGATGGGTGACTTTTCATAAATTGCTCGAACTTAGAGTAATTGTTACTGAATACAAGTTCGTGTGTCTGAAGCACAGTGAGGCCAAACTGAGGTGTTGGAGTTTGGAGCAGAGAAAGGTTTATTGCAGGTCCAAGTAAGGAGAACAGGTGGCTTGTGCTCAAAAACCCCAAACTCCCTGCTGGTTTTAACAGGCAAAATTTGGGGTGAGGGCTGCAGGGTGTGTGACTTTCTTCTGACTGGTGGTGAGGTAATAGGGCAGTGTTCCAGGACTCTTGTGCTCAGCCTGAAGTTACCATCCTCCACCTAGGTGGGAGCCTTAGTTCCTGCAGAAGAACGCGAAGATATGATTATGTATATCCCTTGAGGAGGAACCAGGATCCTGCTTTAATGGTTACATTATGGTTTCTTTTCTTTCTTTTATTTTTTTTGGCCATGCCACTTAGCATGTGGGATCTTAGTTCCCAGACCAGGGATTGAACCCATGCCCCCTGCATTAGGAGCATGGAGCCTTAACCACTGGACCACCAGGGAAGTCCCATGCACTATAGTTTCTTGACTGCTCATTCTTGGCTTCTGCATTCCCTTACTTCCTTGATTAGCAACTGTTTGAATCTGCTCTTTGGTATTCAGGAAGGTCTAGGAGGCTGAAGCCTTTATCCTGCAAATAAGAAACTGGGGACACAGAAAGGTTTTTATGCCCAGGAGGCCCCCACTGTGTTCTGATCAGTTTCATAACTGGCACCCCAGAAGTCCCCTACTGGTCTCCTGTAAAGATATCCATCACATGACTTAAAACATTACAGATTTGTTTTGCCTGATTTTGAACTGAACATAAATGCAATCATATTGTATGCACACTTTCTAACCCCTTTGGTCTGCTTCTTTTGCCAAATATTCAGTTTGTGAGATTAATTGATAAAGTTCGCTTACTCTCATTGTTGATGGTATTTGGCTTGTTTTTAGCTTGGGGCTACTAGGAATAGTGCTTTTGAACAGTCTCATTTGTGTATTTTGCTGTGTATATGTGTGATTCTTGGAGGGGAATTGCTGGGTCATAGGTTATGCATATGTTTAACTATAGTAATACATTGCCAAACAGTTTTCCAAAGTGGTTTTGCGATTGCAGCTATGTATTATAGTTACAGTTGCTCTGTATACCTAACACACACTTTATGTGTTTCCTTTTTAACCTTTCTCGTGGGTGCATGGTGGTTTTCATTTGAATTTACCTGATGTGTCCATTTGTATATCTTCTGTAACAGGGGAAGATACCTGCCAGCTTTAGTATTAATTTGGGCAAACAGGAAGAGGACCAAGAGAATCTGGATCCTCTTGTAGAGGTCTGTACTGTTTAGATTGGTGTTGATCCAGCGCCTTCAATAGTGCCTCTCTTTCCTTACCGCCTTTAAGAACAAATAGGACTGGAGTAAAGGCAAAGGTCCATCCTTCCCTAAGAGGGACCCAAGGCCACCTGCACTGGTCAAGGTATGTTGGGGACTTGACAGTGACCAAGGTTGCCAAACATTTTAAGCCCTTTTGGACATTGGGACATAAGTTACTGCGGTGCTAGAAAGCACCCTTGGGTGTGGTCAAAAAAATTACTTGAAGCAGTTAATAATAACTTCCAGAAATAATTTGGAAAGTAATTTCCAGATTGATCAATAGACTGCTATAACTTTATAGGTGGACTCTTTTGGAGCAATACCCATTCAAGTGGTTGTAACTGATACTGCTGAATGTGTTGTGGTAATA